CCAGGAGAATACGTTTCTGTTCCTTTGGGATCTTATCCTCACCCAACTCATCCCCGTCCTCAATATATAGATTATATGGAGCAACCGTCTCACCACATGTATTCTCAATACCATCAACATTCCCATTTTCAAGATTACGAACATTATCCTCCCAATCCTTATGCAGGATACATGGGATATTCGGGAACCACCGAACGGGCTCCTACGCCTCCCAGCCCTAGCGAACATAGCGGAGCACCGTCTCCTCTTCCTCTTGCCAGTCAATCGGGAGCTCCTTACCTAACTTCTGGTTATGACGAGCTTCCTGAACATTACCGCGTTACTCCATCACCCGGAGGCCCTATTGGGTTAGATCCTTATCAAGACGATCCGGCTGTAGTATATGGATATGTTTCGCCGTCACCGTATGGAACTACTACTAACCACCCGGGGTCTACGTACGACTCCCGTCCCTACGACGAAGGATTGAACGGTCCAGTTCCCGTATCTGCACCTATCAGAATGTACGATGATGAAGAATTGTCGAAACACATGAGCAAAATGTCAATGACATTACATGGTCATAATATTAGTTTACCTCACAGTCGGGCACATGCCATGGCTTCGCCGGGAAGTACAGGCGGTGAAGAAGATCAAAGAGGAATGCGTTGGAGGGATCCTAATTTAACGGAAGTAATAGGATTCCTCAATAATCCCAATAATGTAATAAAAGCAAATGCAGCAGCTTATTTACAACATTTATGTTACATGGACGATCCTAATAAGCAAAAGACAAGAGCATTTGGAATAATTAGTGATATTTAATATTAATAATACAAGTTTCTGTTATAAAACAATCCAGACGTGGTGAGAAGTATTGCAAAATGCATTTACTTCCAACGTTACTTATTACAATCGTTTGTAAGTAAAAACAACAATAAATTGAATTATTATCATTAACGATAAATGTTTTAGTTTCCGGTGAATTTATTTTACCTGTTCAATGTATACATGGTTATGGAAAATACAACAGTTATACAACTCCAACAAGTTTAAACTATATCGAAAATTTGAGGGGTAATTGTGGCATTTTCATTTAGAATTGTCTTATGAGAATTGATTTGAATTAATTTTTTTAGCTAAACCATCAAGAGGTGTAGGAATTTCAGCATGGGGTATAGTGTTCCTTATTATAATGTTTATTTTGGTTGGAGTTGGAATATATTATGCTGCTGTATTTTACCCTTTATTATGTAAAAAAGAACGTAAATATGATAGAATTGAACTTGCCACAGTGTAAATTGAATTGAACTGATAACATATGCTCAATTTTTATATAATTTAAGAAGACTGAAGAACAGAATAATATCTGTAATTTTATACTGCAAAAGCACTATTTGCATTTTTTTAGTTTTTATCTCATAAAAATGTATTACTACATTGTTGCATGAATTTTGAGTCTCATTTTTGGGACTTGTCCTTTTTGAATGGTATTTTATATTTTTGGGGAAAATATAGTTGCAGCAGGTGTAGTAGTTTCTATGTAGGTATGATACTTCAAAATATATACTTGTATTACATGAGAAGATTTTATAATAAAATTTTATATAAACATGCAATTTTTTCCTGTCTCTTTTAAAAGTAATTATAGAAGAGTGAAGTTGCAATAATTAATTATTAATTTGCAAGTTTCATAATTAGGTCAATGAAATAGAAAAAGTTAGGTTATGCTTAACGACTTTTAAGATAAGTGGCCAATAATAATATTATTTGTTAAACCTTAAAAATTACGATTTAAAATATGTAATTATGATCGCCGAGGTAAAGTAAATCATACATTATAAAATTAACACAAAAGGAACTGTGAAAAAATGTTAATGGACCCTGATCTGGAAATACGTGTTAAAAAGGGTAAGAAAATACCTATAAAAATAGCAATGTTTAGTTAATAATTTCTGTTATTTAAAGCTACTGAAAGAATATCCGAGAATATGCACATAGTTGCAAATGAGCCTTCATTGGCATTTTATAGACTGCAAGAGCATGTACGGAAAGCCCTAAATCCCATAGTTGATAGACGTTCTGATGTTCTTAAACTTCATCAAGAATTGCAAGGAAGGTGTTACGATGTAGAGTACGCTATTAGGTAAATCGTAACATGTGGGTAAACTTCTGACACAATACAATTAATGTTTTAGTGCCATTAAAGCAATGAACAAAGCTGACACTAGTTTTAAAAATACATTGGATCATATTAAAAATGCAATATTTGTCAAACAGCAACTAAAGTATGAAGAATCGCGTAAAAAGAAACCAGAACCCAATTCAGTATACAAAAGACTCTCGGCTCATATTACATTAGATTTAACAGAACTATCAGAATTATCTGATGTTGTTAGGGAAACAGCCAATCGTGTTGAGTCTATGATGTCTAAAGCTGCTCATTCTAGTTCTTAAAAGTTACTTTTCAATAGTTATATTGAAACAGTAATGTTTTATAAATTCATTTTGTAAAGACAGTGTGGATTAATTACCATTATTTAATTATCAAGGTTTAAGTTTCTAATTAAGTACATAAACAGTTCTTAAAATAACAAATTTAGTATTTAATACTGTTTTATTTATCTTTTGGCAAATCTTGTAAAATAAAATTTAGTTGAATAATTGAAAANAAAATTAAAAATTTGGTAACATCTCTAGCCAGTAACTCATGGTAATGGAACATCCACTTTGACGTATGTTACGGGGAAATAACCGGTACGGCCATTTACACTACCCTCGAACCAATTTTCATCAATTTTATTTATTAATGTGATAACATCATTTTCCTGAAAACATAATAAAATGCCCTTTGAATATAGTGTAAAAGCAAATATCGTCTTAAATTGTAAAAGTGAAAATATACACTACACGCAGATACTTTTTGACGACGTACCTTAAATCCCAATTCTCCAGGATTTTCTGGCTCAAAGTCATAAAGCGCTGTACAACATGGGGTTCGAGTCATGGGACTTCTTGCGGGTGACTTCATAGGGGACGGTAATGGCGAAGCTGAAAAAAATTTAATAGACGACCAAATTACAAACAAAAAAAAGCAGATGAAATAATGATAAAATAACGAATCGCATTCGTATATTAAGAAGTTACAATGTCGTACATACGCATCCATAAATACGCAATTAAGTAAAAAGTAGCATACTCTTATTGTATACTGGCAAAAATTAATAAACAAAATCTGAAAAAAACTATAGTCAACAAGACCTTTTATCTCCTTTTCGCGAGGAAGCACAGAAATGATTTTCCTTTCAAAGTTAATTTTAGGAAGGGTAGTTTTTTTAGTGAATTATTATTTAAGACAAGCATAAGGCGACCGAATAAAAATAAAATATTTCATAATTACCATTTGCAGATTGTTGTCCAAAATCTAGCTGAACATGCGGTTTATTTTGTGGAGAAGACAACAGTGAAGAACCTAACAAAACATTGTTATTTTTACTTTTACAGCTAAAACAACTAAAATACTTTGCCAAACTTTTACATGACGACATCTTTAATAATTAATAACAGAATTACGGAAATCACTAAGGAATAACCGTATTCAGAAACCGATTCGATGAATTAAATAATGTTTTCGACTACAAACAAGTAATTAACTCTTAACACTATCTATGTACTCAGACACCAAAATAATTTTGGCCTTATGCCAAACCAAACAAATAGAGCGAATTCAGCGAGATTATTTCAATAAATTTAAGAATGACCTTTTTACTTATTTTTTATAGCAATTTCAAATCAATAATGACAAACTCCTTTTTATTTTAAAACATCTATAATAAATAATCATTTAGTATTAGATCCCAAATAGTAAACTACGTACACCATGTATATATATCGTGAGTATGCATGTAACACAATTTTTTGGGCTGAGGTAATTTCCACGTACACCTATTCAAATTTCTTTTAAGTACTATCATTTACGATGCATATGATCACTGTGGAAATCTTTTTATTTGTAATAACTACATATAAAACGATAATGGAATATTGTAGGATTAAGGGACTGAAAATACAAACGTATCATGCCAAGTATAAGGTAATTAAAAATATCTTACCTTAATAAAAACCAACACAACAGTAAAATGCAATAGTAAAAATACTCATCGGTCATAACTGAATGTAACTTTGGCCACCTTTCCGATTTGAAAATTTGAAAACGTACATTAATTCCTTAACAGATTTTGTAAATATTTCAAAATTAATATTTGTTATTCTTGTATGAAACGTTAAAGTGTTATGATTAGATAGAACTAACTTTTAACTTACGAAAAGTGGACGAAGTATTAGAAGAAAATAATATTAACTAAATAAAAGGGCAAAAAAAAGAAAGCAATACCTTGAAAACTCCATGAATCGAAAGGGTCGGGTGAGGGTCGGTAATTAGAAACTTTTGAGACATGACTGGGAGGAAGGTTAAAGGGCTGCGTTGGAAAACTATTAGGGGCGAAATGGCTACTTGTACCATTAAATCCGTCGGTCACTCCTTCTAGATCGTGCAGTGTCTTGGGAACGAATTCCATTTTCGGACGATTTGCCGCTTCATCTTTTCTTTAATGAAATTGTTACGTTAACGTTAGATACCTTTTAAACATTTTTTTTTACGTACTTTAAAAGTATGGTTTCTGTTATGCCTTTCAAAATATCTGTACACTGGCTGTGGTAATCTAACAAGGCTTCTGCAAAAGTAGCCAGTTGTGAAATTTGTTCTACCTAATTGATAAAAATTAATTAAAAAATGAACTGTAAATATGTAATTTCCAATGCAATTGACTTACATCGTTTTCCAATAAATTAAACATTCCCATTTGAGCTAAATGCAGCGACTCTGCAAACTTATCTTCTGCAGTCTTAATTTCATCATCACTTATGTGCGAACCTAAATTTTATTCGGAAAGTACAATTGAAAATTTTGAACATCTATTTCAGTTTTCCATGGTTGAAAATGTAAATTTTATTCTTAAGTAGGTATGTACTGAGGGTACCCTATTCTTACTATACACATGTAAATTCCTTTTTTATATAACTAAATACCCCATTACAAGCGTTACCAAAAGGTTCTTATTCAAGCATTAATAAATAAAATTGCATAACATGTAAAGCTTTTCTACTCTAAAATATAAATTAAATAAAAACGCCGTAAAAAAAAGAAAATAAAGTCTATTTCGCCCACCTCTTTTTTATTATAATGACATAATATTAATAAAATATCAATATATATTCTCATCAATGTTACAATCAAACTGATGCGTTAATAAAAAAAAAAATATATAAATTTCGTGTCGCGTTGTACAAAATAATGCAATAAATTACATAGGTACATGTGCAGATGTTAGGCAGAAAGGCACTATAGCCATGGGAATTTAAATAAAAGTCATTACAAATACTCAAGCAAAGTACTTCATACCGTGCAGACTCTTAATTGGACTGCTATAGGGACTTCCCGAAGTTTTAAATGCTATAAAATAAATTACCAGTTTTACACTTTAAACTGTTAAAAATGTCAGGATACATTTTCAGTTAATTGACTGAACTGAACAACCAATTAGTCAGTGATTATTCCCAGTCATATCCATTAACAAAATGTACTTGTTTTTTATAATAAGTAATATAATATATTGATATTGTGGTGTGTGGTTTGATACATTAATAAGTTTACATTGCCTACCTTTAGCCTGGCGTCTTTTTTTACAATCGAAATCCAACCTGCGTCCCTGAAGTTTCTTTCTGTGATGCTTAAAAAAAAGAAACAAATTTAACACAATCCCTTGTTATAACAAAAAGATTACGAAACTTACCATCACTTCTTTGAGATCCTTTGTATGTAAATGATGGAGAGGTTCTAAAAAGTTTTGTTTGATATTGTCATCCAGTGAATATTTCACATCGGCCATTTGTTTCAATGCTTCCCCCATTTCAACTAATGCTTGTCCGAACATACTGTCGTCCCCTAACTTTCGCCCATAAGTCAACATACAATCTCCCAAAACACCTTCCGGTTGAGGGTAAGTGTTGGACTTAGCTTGGCCACTTAGTTTGCTAATTCCCTTTACTGCAGCCATTTTGGCTCGAGCGTTTGGATTAGGTTGAAGGAATTCTTTAGTTTTCACTTGTAATTCCTCCACCAATTCGTATGTAACATCAGTTTTCTAGAACATCATTGTTTATTCATAAAAATGTATCTGTTATCTATATACATACTAAGCGCTGCTTCTTTTATTACATAAACTTACCCTCTCCATGTCCATGAAGTCCAAATCAAGTTTTGTACCCTCTGCACCACCCATTTTTTCGGTGACATACTATAATAAATAGAACAGTCGAAAATTACTTTTTAAGCAACACGAGAAATTCAACTACAAGAAAATATACTTACTTGATTGCATTTGTTTATCTGCTTTTTCAGTCCAGCAAATGCCATGTTGAAATGTAGATTAAATCTGCAAAAATTTATGAATATAGGATTAATGTAATAGCGGTGAAAATTAAACATTGCCTTTTTTGGTCCCTTATTTACAGTACACTTCTACACTAATTGTAAAATATTGTAAGGTCATGTATTGCTTTTGAGATATGTGTATGTGTATGTACATATAACCGTAAGCTGAATCGTTGATTATTGTTATATTTTTGGTCCAATGAAATTTTGTGAATGTTATTCGCAAGGGAATTTATAAAAGCCTGCATTTTGAATCCTTTAAATATTGTACCAATGTTTTAATATGTTACATTAGACATATTTATTTCAATTTTTAATTATTAACGACGAAATCAAAATATCAAATAATTACTTTTAAAAGTTACTATTTTCATCTCATTAAAAAAAATATATAATAATCACATAATAGTGGATAATGTCCGTGGCTTCTTTGTTTGGATGTTACTTCTTATTGTTTCCTGTTTAAAACGATAAAGATGTAACGGAAACAACTGATAATAACAAAAAAGTAACTTAACTAACTTTTGAAAAGTGTATTTGCTTAAAATTTAAAAGTTTGGTCATTTCTTTTTATTACTAAAAAAAAATGAGGAATAAGTATATTGTAAATGAAATGGTGCTCCTTATTTTTTTGTTGTGACTACAGAAAAAAGTAGACCTGACATATATCTCGAAATTATGTATTACAAACAATGGAATATTTTTAAATATCTCTGTTTGAGTATTTATGTAAATTAATATTGTATCTTATAATACTGCAATATTTTAATAACATTAATGAAGATTTTGATAAAAATTAACAATGAGTTATTTTGAGAGTAAAAGAGTTGGAACATTTTTGAAAATTAGAAAAAAATTGTGCACCAATTCAGATTTACTTCCCAAATTTTAACCTTGACACAAATTTTTCGTTTTGATACGATTCAACTGATAACAAAATTAGCGTTTTTAATTTAGAAAAATCCGAGAACAATTTCCATGACGGTAAATTTTAAAAACAAAACGCAACTTAACAAAATGCAAAGTTACCCGTACTTATAAGTGTACGAGAAGTTTTTAAAAAGCAAAAGCATGATGACACAACAATTGAATTGTAACATACCTGTTGTATAACTTTTAACAGAAATTAAATTACACCACTACAGTAATTTTATACAAGTTCTAATACTACAGACAAAGCATGGTTTTTCGCAAATGGCAAATATCGACTGCATTTAAGAAATATCACGCGTAATGGCGCATTTATCTGCGCATATCGATACCCTCGCACTATTAAAACGCCCACAAACCCCGCAAAAAAGTACAGAAATATAAGACCATTTTGAAAAGGCTTTATTTTAACTAAAAAAATTTGTTTAGTAAATTCCGTCTGTATATTCATAACAGGACTAAAGTATATTTGCGGCTATAATATGTAAGATTACAGAAAACGAACAAAAAGAAAATAGTAACAAAGGTAAAGAATTTTTAAGTCATTCAATCAGTTTTCGGTGTATTCATTTACTACAAATCCCAATAGCAAATAATAACTACCATTAGTTAAACTAATTGCAAATTAGTCATATATGTAGTTAATATTGCGTTAATTTAAAATTTTCACACCACTTGTCAAACAAATTCTATAGCGCCATCTAGTGGTAAATAGCCACTTCGTTAAATAATCACACAGTGGCATGCATCGCCATCTGTAAAGACCCTAGAGCTCTAAGGTGAAGACCTTCTGCATCTTATTGATAGATTTCTGGTATCTGTAATTAATCATAAATACCTGCCTAATGAATTTAATTAAGTTAATAATATACAGGACTTTCGAGATATTTTAAAAAACGAGATATGTACATATTTATGATTACGTTATCTGAGATCAATAAGAGAATATTAAATCAAAGATTAGAAAAAACGACATCCACAATACTTCCTTCAAACCAAGTGGCAGATACTGCAAAATATTTACATTGTACAGAACAGTCGGCCGCATTTTATTAGTTGCTTTTCTTTTGGCAGAATAAAATATATTTAACATAATGAAAATCTTTGTGTGCCATTAGCTTACGTTTCTATTAGCATTTTAATGACAGTTTAATACACTGTACTAATCTATTAAAAAGTTAAGAAAAATAATTACAAAACTTCAAAATATATAAAGGTGATTTGATTAATTAATATTTGAAGCATTTAAAAGTAACTTTTTAATAAAAGTCATAAACCGTTGATAAAAATTAAAGAGTAAACGAAAACAAAAGTGCTGTAGTTACTTACCCTTTGCAGAGTTAAATTCAAGATAAATAGACATGCACTTGCTGGATCTTCACAAATTAACCTTAAACTGGTGCCTTTTGTCTATAAGACATCACTGTTTTACAAAAAGAGCTTAGGCTTACTCATTGAACACAATAATTGAAAATCGATTAAAATGTTATTTTGGTTTTTTGACATTTGTCACTGATAACGAGATACCATTATCCTCCTGATTCAAATGATAAGTTGAACTCATAAAGTTAAGAATAACACCATCTTTGCAAGTTGCTAATCGTTGATAATCATAAAAAAGGACCACCATCTATTCTATGGAGACCATGAAGAGACCGATATAAAATATAAACTATAAACAATCTATGCTATAAACCATAGGCATAGACTATGCAGTATTAACGATCTTAACCTATGTTATCTTTAGTTTTACCGCCAAAAGTTCGAGGCAGTTGCAGCAAGTGTTTTTTCGTTGATTTTCTTCGTTTTTCTCGTTTGTTGTATCACCATGAATCCTCCCATGTTATCGGAAGGAGCTCTCAAGGTACGTTACCATATTATATAAACAACATAAATAAGAAAAAATGTTATAGCTTATTGTGGATGGGAAAACTGTTAAGAACCCTATCCTGCAAATTATTAATAGCAAGAAACTACCATCGAGAAGCCCCGATTCACGACGTTACAGAGTTATACTTTCTGATGGAAAATATATTATGTCTTTTGCAATCCTGTATCTCCATATAAAGAAATTAAATCTAGCCGGAGACTTCCAAAACAATTCAGTAATAGAAATTTTATTGTTCTCGACAACTTTATTTAATAGTATTCAAAGGACAGGGAAGTAAGAAATACAAACCTGTTTATCTTTTATTTAGTTAAACTTATTTTTTCAGGCTCATAATAGTTATACATAACTATGCATTGTTAGCTACTGGTTGCTCTAAAATTGGTTCTCCAGTACCACTACGTGGTTATCCAATTTCTTTCATTAAAGAAGAAGGGAATAATAAGCCATTGAAAGACACAGTAATACATCCAATTTCCAGTTTAAATGCTTACATGAACAAGTAAGTTTTTTCAACATAATAAACTAGTAAGCTAATAAATAAAAAAGAATTTGGGATCATGTTTGCTTAATAATTTTTCATATGTATACATGTAAGGTTATTTTTGTATGTATTAGGTATAAGTACATATATTTGGTAAATGGTTCCTAAACAGTGATAAACCAACTTAAAAAAACCTGATGTTCTCTTAATTAAAATTGTCCTATGCCTATACATATGCACTAATAATTTTAAAACTGCAGGAGTTGTATATAGAAACAAATTAGAAGAGAATTTTCTTCATATTTGATTTTGCTGAAGTTTAAAAAAATGTGTAAATGATTTTAGTTTTGTTAATCTGCCCTAAATTACCATAAAATATTTAGAATAAAGAATCATGGTAATTTGTAACATTGCCATGATTTTAATATCTGCAGAATACAATGTATTATATTGTGCTATTGTAGAATGTGCTACATTATTATATTAGTTTGTTATTACCTTATAACATGGTTTAAACTAAAAAACACAAATTATTTATTATTTTAGTTGGGTTGTTAAAGCAAGAGTGGTGAGCAAGTCTCTCATTTTTGTTCAAAGAAATTCCAGAAAACTTTCAATCAACTTATTAGACTCAAGTGGTGGAATTAGAGCCGTAGCTTATAAAAATGTAGCTGATAAACTTTATCATTTAATAGAGGTAATTACATCATATTCTTTTAAAACTCTAAAAACAAGATAAATGTTAAATTGCTTTCAGCTTGATAAAGTATATTTTATAAGTAAATGCAGAATAGAAACGTCGAACAAATATTATGAAGAATTGGGTAACGATTATACAATCAAGTTTACCCCAAATAGTGTTATTGAAGAATGCTCTGATGATGCTGAACTTGTTCCCCACATTCAGTACAAATTTGTGCCTATTAATGAAATTCGTGAGGTCGAAGGAAACTTTGTTGGTATTATAATTACAATTAAGTTGACTCAGTTGTTAGCATTAATTAATATAAATATAATTCTAGATGTCGTTGGCGTTTGTAAGAATGCTTCTGATTTAAAAAAAATCGGAAACCACAATATAAAAAGGACTGTACAATTGATCGATCCGTCGAATGCATCTGTATGTAATATATTTTATTAATTTACTTACAGGTTTAAATAGTTCTGGTTTTATTTTTATAGATCGATGTGGTTTTATTCGGAACAGATGCTGAAGATGTTGACGATTTTATCAATCCAATACTAGCATTTAAATCGGTCAAAAGAGCATATAATGGAGAAGGAATTTATCTAACTGCCACATGTTGTACAAATTACAGAAGATATATTGATATTCCCGAATATGATCATTTCAGAAGATGGTTTGAAAGTAAAGGTTCCCATACTGGTGTTGTCAATTTGAGCAAGTGGTAATATGTCTTTGTAGTTGAATTAATAAGATTCGTTCTAACATTTTTTTAATTAAGTAGTCATGTTCTATGGATGACTTTTAACAACATACAATTAAAACCAAATGGAAGTTATTGTTTCAAAGTTAAGGGCACCGTTTTGTTTGTTGAGACTGAAAATGCTGTTTACAAAGCCTGTTCCAAGAAAGGATGTAATAACCAAGTCAGCCTTTTAGAATGTGGACTGTACAGATGTAAAGAATGCGACGTAGAATCTACTAACTTCAAATATGAATATTTGTTGAGGGTAAGTGTTTATTTTGAATTATATTAATAAAGTTTTGCGCAAAACTATAAGAAATATACATATATAAAATGTTATTTTGGAGCTTCTTTAAATGAAAACAAAATTAAGATTATATGGTAATATGTCCCCTATAGGTCCTTTATATGTTATGTTATACATGTATAAAGGAATTTTTGGTAAATAAATAAATATAACATATTTTTCGGTTATTCGCAATAAACTGTATCTTCAATATTTTTCGTTTTAAAATTCCTAAATTAAAAATTGTTTAGCGTTGTAAACTAATCCTTTTACATTTGTTTAAAGGTAAATGTGAGTGACTGGACAAGCAATGAATGGGTTCATATGTTCAATTCAGAAGCGAAAAAAATGCTTGGTATAAGTGCTCAAGAGGTAAGTGAAGCACTAGAAAAGGACCCAAAAGCATTTGCTTCTATTGCAAACAGGGTACATTTCAAGGAATATGTATTCGAATGCCGAACCAACGCCGACGTGAATATTGTAAGCCAACTTTGTCTTATATAATACAATTAATAAGTGAATCACATTTATTTCAAAGAATGGGGTACAGAAGGGCACAGTCACTGTTGCAATAAACCCAGTAGACTACAAAGAGTACAATGCAGAATTGTTATCAAAAATAGAAGATAATGTAAGTATGAATAAATAAACTTCCTTTTGTGGTGACTCCTATTTTAAATGTGCTGTTAATTGAATCAATTTTATGTTTGAATAATTAAATTTCTTTTTTGTGGTGAATCGTTCCAAGACAGTCTCCTATTTTATATGTGATGTTAATTGAATCTATTTTATGTTTGAATAATTAAATTTCTTTTTTGTGGTGAATCGTTCCAAGACAGTCTCCTATTTTATATGTGATGTTAATTGAATCTATTTTATGTTTGAATAATTAAATTTCTTTTTTGTGGTGAATCGTTCCAAGACAGTCTCCTATTTTATATGTGATGTTAATTGAATCTATTTTATGTTTGAATAATTAAATTTCTTTTTTGTGGTGAATCGTTCCAAGACAGTCTCCTATTTTATATGTGATGTTAATTGAATCTATTTTATGTTTGAATAATTAAATTTCTTTTTTGTGGTGAATCGTTCCAAGACAGTCTCCTATTTTATATGTGATGTTAATTGAATCTATTTTATGTTTGAATAATTAAATTTCTTTTTTGTGGTGAATCGTTCCAAGACAGTCTCCTATTTTATATGTGATGTTAATTGAATCTATTTTATGTTTGAATAATTAAATTTCTTTTTTGTGGTGAATCGTTCCAAGACAGTCTCCTATTTTATATGTGATGTTAATTGAATCTATTTTATGTTTGAATAATTAAATTTCTTTTTTGTGGTGAATCGTTCCAAGACAGTCTCCTATTTTATATGTGATGTTAATTGAATCTATTTTATGTTTGAATAATTAAATTTCTTTTTTGTGGTGAATCGTTCCAAGACAGTCTCCTATTTTATATGTGATGTTAATTGAATCTATTTTATGTTTGAATAATTAAATTTCTTTTTTGTGGTGAATCGTTCCAAGACAGTCTCCTATTTTATATGTGATGTTAATTGAATCTATTTTATGTTTGAATAATTAAATTTCTTTTTTGTGGTGAATCGTTCCAAGACAGTCTCCTATTTTATATGTGATGTTAATTGAATCTATTTTATGTTTGAATAATTAAATTTCTTTTTTGTGGTGAATCGTTCCAAGACAGTCTCCTATTTTATATGTGATGTTAATTGAATCTATTTTATGTTTGAATAATTAAATTTCTTTTTTGTGGTGAATCGTTCCAAGACAGTCTCCTATTTTATATGTGATGTTAATTGAATCTATTTTATGTTTGAATAATTAAATTTCTTTTTTGTGGTGAATCGTTCCAAGACAGTCTCCTATTTTATATGTGATGTTAATTGAATCTATTTTATGTTTGAATAATTAAATTTCTTTTTTGTGGTGAATCGTTCCAAGACAGTCTCCTATTTTATATGTGATGTTAATTGAATCTATTTTATGTTTGAATAATTAAATTTCTTTTTTGTGGTGAATCGTTCCAAGACAGTCTCCTATTTTATATGTGATGTTAATTGAATCTATTTTATGTTTGAATAATTAAATTTCTTTTTTGTGGTGAATCGTTCCAAGACAGTCTCCTATTTTATATGTGATGTTAATTGAATCTATTTTATGTTTGAATAATTAAATTTCTTTTTTGTGGTGAATCGTTCCAAGACAGTCTCCTATTTTATATGTGATGTTAATTGAATCTATTTTATGTTTGAATAATTAAATTTCTTTTTTGTGGTGAATCGTTCCAAGACAGTCTCCTATTTTATATGTGATGTTAATTGAATCTATTTTATGTTTGAATAATTAAATTTCTTTTTTGTGGTGAATCGTTCCAAGACAGTCTCCTATTTTATATGTGATGTTAATTGAATCTATTTTATGTTTGAATAATTAAATTTCTTTTTTGTGGTGAATCGTTCCAAGACAGTCTCCTATTTTATATGTGATGTTAATTGAATCTATTTTATGTTTGAATAATTAAATTTCTTTTTTGTGGTGAATCGTTCCAAGACAGTCTCCTATTTTATATGTGATGTTAATTGAATCTATTTTATGTTTGAATAATTAAATTTCTTTTTTGTGGTGAATCGTTCCAAGACAGTCTCCTATTTTATATGTGATGTTAATTGAATCTATTTTATGTTTGAATAATTAAATTTCTTTTTTGTGGTGAATCGTTCCAAGACAGTCTCCTATTTTATATGTGATGTTAATTGAATCTATTTTATGTTTGAATAATTAAATTTCTTTTTTGTGGTGAATCGTTCCAAGACAGTCTCCTATTTTATATGTGATGTTAATTGAATCTATTTTATGTTTGAATAATTAAATTTCTTTTTTGTGGTGAATCGTTCCAAGACAGTCTCCTATTTTATATGTGATGTTAATTGAATCTATTTTATGTTTGAATAATTAAATTTCTTTTTTGTGGTGAATCGTTCCAAGACAGTCTCCTATTTTATATGTGATGTTAATTGAATCTATTTTATGTTTGAATAATTAAATTTCTTTTTTGTGGTGAATCGTTCCAAGACAGTCTCCTATTTTATATGTGATGTTAATTGAATCTATTTTATGTTTGAATAATTAAATTTCTTTTTTGTGGTGAATCGTTCCAAGACAGTCTCCTATTTTATATGTGATGTTAATTGAATCTATTTTATGTTTGAATAATTAAATTTCTTTTTTGTGGTGAATCGTTCCAAGACAGTCTCCTATTTTATATGTGATGTTAATTGAATCTATTTTATGTTTGAATAATTAAATTTCTTTTTTGTGGTGAATCGTTCCAAGACAGTCTCCTATTTTATATGTGATGTTAATTGAATCTATTTTATGTTTGAATAATTAAATTTCTTTTTTGTGGTGAATCGNCATTACTAACATTTTTGTATTTTTACGAATTTTCATTTGGCCTTTCGTCGGTAATTTCACTGTTAATGCTTACTTGACTAGGAATGTGAATATCACTGAATGCTCTATAATCTACAAGACAGAAAAAAATACAATTCAGTTTTTAAATTAATTTAATTGTACGCACCTACCTCGTCTTCGCTTCAACAAGGATATCACAGCTGCAGCCCCTAATACTGCTGACCCTCCACAAACATACGTAATAATATCTCTATAGTACGTTTTTTCTGAGTGGCTTTTGTGTCTTAAACAAAAAAAAGGTAACATTAAATAACTTACGGAATAATCTTTCAATGTGGCCTTAGTCTAGGAAAGCTTAGGGAGCAACCCAGAAAATTATTCCTTAACAGATAAACTGATACAAGATTTTTTTACAATAGGATAGCTTACGAAAAAGTAAAACTTACAGTTCTTGTATAATTACAACTGCAATTCCATTTGCTATTTTGTCTGTAAAACTCATCACACCATACACGAAAGCTCCACTACTAGTTTTATCACCTATTAAATCAGCAGTAATACCTAAACTAGTTACAAGAATTATAGACCCGCCAATTCCTAAAACAGTTTAATAAGCAAATTCTTAAAGCATTCATTAAAGGGTCGTTTTTACCAAACAACAATGATATAGGATAAATATCATACATTGCAAAGGATTTTGATCCAAACTGTATCCAAACACACGCTGAAACTCCTATTAATGTCCCAGTTACGTATGCTATCTGAGAAATTAAGGCTTCAAATGTAAATTTATGCAAAGATGTTTTAATTGTTAAGGTGTACCTTTCTGCCGAAACCGCGATTAATCTTTTCTACTGCTATGGATGTTAGGAAACTACCCAAATACATAATAAGTGGGATTAGTGCTAAAGCACTAGCGGCCATATTCAACGTTTCGTGTAAATATAGTGGAATAAATACTTGGCTCAAATTAACAAATAATCTCGTTGACATATACGTTAAAGCCACCTAAAAGTACAAGATGCTGTTTTAGACTGAAGCTTTTTATATCATTTTTTTGATTTACAATAGACCAAGTACCTGATAAACTTCTATCCTGGACAGTAAGTCAAAGACATGTCTTTTAGGCTGGCCTGCCCTTACGTTATTTATACTATACTGGTTTTCTTCGTTAATACCTAAATGGAATATAACTGAACAAAATATTCCAATTGAAAGACCTATCCATACAACTGTTTGGAATTTGTATGCATCTGATGGTCCAATCTGAGATTCATTAGAATCACTATTGATGTGTAACACAGCCCACGTAATCAAGTAGACAAGCACGTTAGAAATTACAGTAAAAGAATACCTAAAACATATTTAATTAATAAAGTACTTGGCACTGTGTAAATTTGGAAGATAAGGATACAATAAGTAAGAACATTTAAAAATTTGAAATATACATTACATTTTCTTTTATTATGCTATGTAAACAAGTAAGAATTAATACCTGATAGCAATTAATTTTGTGCGATCATGTTCATTTGGTGTAAGTTCTGGAATAAGGGACAAGTGAGATATCTGAACTGCTGCCCAACCAAACTGGAAAATTATTACAAATACTGAATAATATAGTATTTGGGCCCATTTGTGACTACCTTCACAATTAATACAAGGGGAAAATATAAATGGGAAAGCTCCTAATACACAAATTGTTCCTTAAAACATATATAACATCAATAAAATTAAAAGGATTAAAGGAATGAGCAAAAACTTGTAGGCAAACATACCAACAAGATGCCAGGTTTTTCTTTTTCCATATCTACAAAACCAAAAGTTATCTGAATTGTCGGAGTGGAACCCAACAAATGGGGTAGCTACTGCATCAGCAATCTATAAAAGGCAATTAAATAAAAACACACAATTAATTATTGTCAATTTTTACACTTAATAAACAATAAAAAAGTAGCAATACCTGTCCTATTAATAATATTAATCCAGCTTCCCAATTATCAAATTGTAGCACCAGATGAAAGAAAACAAGAAGGTATGTGAACCACATAGAGGCACAGATATCATTGAGTACATGTCCTATACCGTAAGTTAACTGTAATCGCAGAGAAAGTCTGCTGTACACTTCTGTATATTCATCACTTATTAAATGATGGCTTGTTGAATCCATTTCTTGAATTTGTGAAAGAAGCAGAACATATTATATTAAAAGGCTTTTACAATAGTTACTTGGAAGTTTAAACATGATTCATAACTATTACTGATCACTTCAGGTAAACAAAGAATAATTTACCAATAATGCGTCATATGGAACAAACGGAATAAATGCTTCGATAATTCTAAAAAATGATAATAAGTGACAACACAAAATTAAAAAACTACACTGTATTACACATCAAAGTTTAAAGTTATCAAAATCCATGTCATAAATACATTTAGTTTAAAACCGTATCAAATTTCTACGAGGGTGATGAAGTTTCTGCAAACTTAGAGAAGTAGATTAAAATAGTTTTCGAAAAACAAGTACATTTTAACCGGTCAATTTTTATTATTAAAAAAAACCAACAGCTGACTATCACCAACTGTCACCATAGATTAAAAACATGCTCAGGCTTAAAGTGAAACATCTAAGTATGTTACAATGTAAAATATGGGTACCTATTTGTACATTTTATAATTTGCCAAAACAGTTTATAAAACTCTGAAACCCTCGGCGTTTTATAAAATACCTAATTTTGCTTTATGCCTTCGATACACTTTAGCTAATTAATTGAATTATTAACTGTATTAAAATACAATATAAATCTATCGTCTGACAATTGACTAGTAGTAGGCCGCTTGGCAAAAAATGTATTGAATTTATTAATATTGAATTCTTACTGTTATGCCTATTGCTATTAACCAAGACAGATAATTTAAAAAGAGAGCCAATTTTAAAAATAAAGTTAAAAATACACGTCATTACTTTCATCAGTGATTTTTCATTTGTTAAATTGACATCTCCAGTTTCCCAGAACCCATTATGAGTGGGAGTGATATAGTTGCCTGTGGCAGCAGATTTGTGAAAGACTGAAGAAAAGTATTAAAGAAAAAATAATAATTTTTGTATAGTTCAAATTACAGATGCTTCTGTGTATAAACTAATTATGAAGAAGACTTATTTGCAATAGTTGCGTGAAAAAATACTCGGTTTGTGACAAATTGTGTTGCTGACGTAGTTCTCCATTTTACCTGACCGCTCTTCAACTTTTGACAAAATTTTAAAGGTTTGTGCTGCTGTTATCGTATTTACTTCGATTACATATATTATTTTTTCAAATAAAATATTGAATTGAAAATCTTCAACACGGTTATTTGGCTGTTTCTTTTCAATTTAATATTTTCTAATATGTAAACACGTTAGCCCCGCCCCACCACATATGTACTTGTCATTAACTGGGATCAAATTGTTTATTAAAAAATCTACTTATTATAGTAGTATAACATGTATAATATTTTTTTAATATTTCGTCTTAATTGGAATTAAATTAAACTGCCCAAAGCTGACTATAAATCTCTTTTTTAGAATGCAACCAAATGGATAAAACAAAGGATATATACAAAAAACAGTCACCATGATCAAATGTTAATATTAGAAATTAAGGTACGTTTTAATAACTTTTATCTTTTTTTTTAACAGCAACATTTATCAATTGCTCTTGTTACAAGTTTAATTGAAACCTGTTTCATTAAATTGCAGTTTAGATAAAGATAATGTGTAGTACCTACTTGCATTGGTTAAAATTCATAAATCTTTGCTCTGCTGCTTATTTAAAGTAATTAAAGGGATATTCATTTTTTAAAGATGCATTTTGATGAATTTTGTCTCAGTTTAAAAATAAGTTAAGATGCCACATACATATTTATAAACTTGTACATATACCTGTCATCTATGAGAACAAACACACAGGTAAAAGCAGTATTGAAAATGCACTCAGTATGTAGACTATTGTGTTACGAATTAATTTATAAAGAGCTCAGCATATTTCATGTTTTTGAGTACTGCAGTGTTATTTGAAAATGGAACATCTTTTTGACAAGTGGTTTAGGTTTTTTATTCTAATTAATCAATAAATATTTTACACTGTAGCACTTTAATAATAAACATTAAGTACAAGTTTACAACTAACGACTAGCATAGAAACATTTTCCATTGGTAGTTCACAGACAAAACTTTTGGGCTTATGTGATCATGATGTCTGCTAACCAGCTTGTGGATTGTTTGTAAGTAAATGTTCATCTTGTATCATTGCTTTTATAACATCTTCCTCATAATCAGTCTAAAATATAAATATTAAATAACCACTTATAATTAATAATAAACGTTTATTGCACGCTTACTTAGTTAATAGTTACCAATTTTATTTAGCAATAAAAGAAATAATTTTTAAACAAAACTTAACAAGAGAGAACCGGTTTGCATTACAAAACATATATAAAGCTTTACAGTGTTATTTAAAGCTTTATTTGCAGGTATTTATATCAGTAATCCCTGCACTCCTATTACTAATTGAAATGTTTTCTAAAAGTACTGTTTCTTAATAAAATAAAATTTAATAATCTGTTTTGCATGTGAATCATAGCATGCTTTGGTAGCTTTGGTTCCATTAATGTTAAGGGTTGCTTTTTGCACTGACAGACTTGTGAATCGCAGAGTGGAACAGAGGCAAGAGCACAGTATAACACACACAGAAGTAACACAGAGGTAGGTTTTACAAAATTTACAGCTTTATTAAGTGTTAATTTTTGCTGACTAAAGGTATAGGATGTGAAAAGGCCACTTTTGTTTTAAAACCACTCACCTTTATGTATATATGTACATATATATGTGTTATAAATGATTAATAAATAATATTTTGAAGCAACAGTAATGTTTAGTCAGTAAAAAAAAATTTTTTGATCCAGCAAAATAAGTCAAATTTGTAGGTACAAGGATTGTATCTTATAAACTTCATATGCTTGAGAATAACGTAGAAAGGAAGGTAAATCCTAAAGTAACTGTTATATCCCGTAAAAGTCATCTATAATTTAGTTTTTGAATGTTCAACAACTTTAATACAGATTAATTTCTTTTTTACAGTTTTCACCTTTGCATTTGTAAAAACTATATCATATATCATGTATGTCTTGATATATTTAAACTTAATATGTACTTTGGTCTTGGTAATAATTATGATTGTTTTTTTTTTAATTTCATTGTTAATTATTGGAATTATTGTGGTTTTAATACTCGAGTGTGGATATTTATGATTCATTCATACGCAAATCATTCGTTAGATTCATGTTTTGTTGTTTTTAGGAGAATTTTGAAGGAAAACGACCCAGAAATGCATCACTATAAGTAAGTTAGTTATATTTAAGTCGGTTATGAATGACGATAAAAAAAAGTTTATCAAACGTTTCAATAAAAATTGAACGTTTAAAGAAAGTAACATGATATGGACATTTTTAGGGGCCCAGATGCAAATGTAAACGAAGCAGCTTATCATACACATAGTAATGGTCACTCAGAGCACTCTCCAAACTCTAGCCATATGTCAGTGCACAGCGACGAACCACTAATTCGTACCCATAAACAACAAACCACGCAACAAGTGACCACAGTCACGAAAGTAGTTCGTGAAGTTCAACAGCTTGGAGAAGGACCTCCAGGAGAATACGTTTCTGTTCCTTTGGGATCTTATCCTCACCCAACTCATCCCCGTCCTCAATATATAGATTATATGGAGCAACCGTCTCACCACATGTATTCTCAATACCATCAACATTCCCATTTTCAAGATTACGAACATTATCCTCCCAATCCTTATGCAGGATACATGGGATATTCGGGAACCACCGAACGGGCTCCTACGCCTCCCAGCCCTAGCGAACATAGCGGAGCACCGTCTCCTCTTCCTCTTGCCAGTCAATCGGGAGCTCCTTACCTAACTTCTGGTTATGACGAGCTTCCTGAACATTACCGCGTTACTCCATCACCCGGAGGCCCTATTGGGTTAGATCCTTATCAAGACGATCCGGCTGTAGTATATGGATATGTTTCGCCGTCACCGTATGGAACTACTACTAACCACCCGGGGTCTACGTACGACTCCCGTCCCTACGACGAAGGATTGAACGGTCCAGTTCCCGTATCTGCACCTATCAGAATGTACGATGATGAAGAATTGTCGAAACACATGAGCAAAATGTCAATGACATTACATGGTCATAATATTAGTTTACCTCACAGTCGGGCACATGCCATGGCTTCGCCGGGAAGTACAGGCGGTGAAGAAGATCAAAGAGGAATGCGTTGGAGGGATCCTAATTTAACGGAAGTAATAGGATTCCTCAATAATCCCAATAATGTAATAAAAGCAAATGCAGCAGCTTATTTACAACATTTATGTTACATGGACGATCCTAATAAGCAAAAGACAAGAGCTCTAGGTGGTATACCACCGTTAGTTAAGTTACTCAGCCATGACAGTCCTGAGGTATACAGAAACGCCTGTGGGGCATTAAGAAACCTTTCCTATGGTAGACAGAATGACGAAAATAAAAGAGCCATAAAAAATGCAGGCGGTATTCCTGCTCTGATAAATCTTCTTAGAAAATCAAACGAAGCCGAAATAAAAGAATTAGTAACCGGTGTTATTTGGAATTTATCTTCTTGTGAAGATCTAAAGCGTCCAATAATAGACGACGGAATAGAGACGATAGTACGATTTATTATTATCCCACATTCAGGTTGGGACCCGCAAGGGAATTGTGGCGAAACTTGTTGGTCAACTGTATTCAGAAATGCCTCCGGTGTACTTAGGAATGTTAGTTCAGCCGGAGAGTACGCCCGAAAAAAACTAAGAGAATGTGAAGGTTTAGTCGATTCTTTGTTATATGTTGTACGTTGTGCCATAGAAAAATCGAATATAGGCAATAAGATCGTTGAAAATTGTGTATGCATTTTACGAAATTTATCCTACCGTTGTCAAGAAGTAGAAGATCCCAATTACGATAAGAATCCTTTACCGTCACAAAGCAGGGTTACCGCTAACTCTAAAGGTATTTATTTATCTTAACTAGTTCTTCCCCATTATCAGTCACAGTGATCTCGAAACTGTTAGTAGTACCATTGTTTCAAGTGGTTGAAATTCACGTTTGTGAACGATTTGTTCAAATCGCTTTCTTTATGTAAAAAATAAATTTAAAGGAATTGTTTGTAAATAGATATGCAACACATCGTACACTTCAGCATAAGAAAGTGCTGACATTAACTGTCATTAATGAAAATTCATAACTATCATTTACGTAATACTACTCAGCCCTGTGCTGACAGCACTCATAGTTTCTTTTATATATAATATTAGCAATGAGTTCACGTATATGTGATTTGATTTTTAGTTACCTGTCTTCTTTCTGTACGGTTATTTCTTTACAGGAGAAAATTTGGGCTGCTTTGGGGGCAGTAAAAAGAAAAAAGATATCCAAACGGAAGCTAAGGAAAGTTCCGGAGCATCAAATGCAGGAAATTCGGTTAATGCAGCTAACAGAGGAGAGCCTGTAAAAGGATACGAACTTTTATGGCAACCTGAAGTGGTACAGTCGTATTTAGCTCTTCTTCAAAGTTGCTCCAACCCAGAAACATTAGAAGCAGCAGCAGGAGCTCTGCAAAATCTGGCAGCTTGTTATTGGCAACCTAGCATAGAAATTAGAGCAGCGGTTCGAAAAGAAAAAGGACTACCTATATTAGTAGAACTATTAAGAATGGAGGTGGATCGAGTTGTATGTGCGGTTGCTACAGCCCTTCGCAATTTAGCGATCGATCAACGTAACAAAGAATTAATTGGAAAATATGCCATGCGAGACCTTGTACAAAAATTACCTTCTGGTAATCCCCAACATGACCAAGGTACTTCGGACGATACAATTGCTGCAGTACTTGCCACATTAAACGAGGTGATAAAAAAGAATGCCGAATTTTCGCGCTCTTTGTTGGAAGCTGGAGGAGTAGAAAGACTGATGTCTATCACAAGACAAAGGCAAAAATACACACCAAGAGTTCTAAAATTTGCCGGACAAGTCCTTTTTACGATGTGGCAACACCAAGATCTCAGGGATGTGTACAAGAAACATGGATGGAAGGAGCAAGATTTTGTTACGAAAACAGTTGCTGCGAGAAATGCAGGGCCTAATTCGCCTAATAACGCTAACAGTACTCTCAATAGACCGATTTCGTCTCAGAGCGGTACCCGCTACGAAGATCGTACAATGAAAAGGCAGACACCAAATGCTCGAGGAGTTCCACCTGTTTACCAGCGGGTGAGTTATAATAAATTTATTCAACAATTATGAAATTGTGTATCATTTTCTTTTTATTTATGTTACTTTAGAACGATGACATTCCAATGGCTGACATGGCTTACCCAGAACCTCAACCGCCGCTTGGAGGCATTCGTACTTATACGACAGGCCCCAGCAACAATCCGCCTCCTGTAAGTCACTAATAAGGCAACTTATCGAAGCTCAGTAAATATGTGTCAATTTAATCGATTAACTAAACTATATTAAGCCGTTATAGATAAAGCATCGAATCTCTTGTTAGTAAAAGCATTAAAATACATATTTGTTTAAATTTGGATAAAATAGGACTTGCTATGTGAACATTATGGCCTCACACAAATTAATTTAGAACTCATAACATTAGCATTTGTATGTAATGTAGTAACTATTATAATTATTCCATTAGATTATTTAAGTAACGTACGTACTATTATCTATTTATTGTAAAAAGAAGTTGATTTATATACATATTATATATATATATAGTACGATTTATTATTATC